AAATAACTATTATCTTATGAATCTTTTTTTTTTTTTCTAATCACTTCCGGTGGCGCAATTTTTACTCCAAAAGCTCGTGCGTAGGCTCCCATTAAATGCTGATTATCTCGAAAACGAGCTCGGGACACCCTATTTTTCTTTCCAGATTTGGAATCAGCATTAAATTTCAATTCGGAAAATCGAAGTTTTAAGAAAAGCTTAAATCAATTTCCAAAAGTAGGCAGTCACCTTAAGCAGGGTATTCCCTTCCTTCAGTAACAAAAGTACTGCTATCAACGGGAGCCCTATAATAGAGATATTCAATGCATCTTTTTCACGATTGTTCGGTTTGGACAAAGTCCTTCCACGATGTAAAACTCGGCAATCAATAACATACCTGTATTTTACACTTATCATATTGTTTCTTTTCGGTTTGTATGGGTTGAGCAGGACTGGTACTAGGCTGTTGCAGCTGCTGCTGGCCACTAGTACTGCTGTCTTGATTACTTTTACCAAACTGAATTTAAAATGACCAAGCATTTTAATAACAAGGAAGAAAACGATAAAACCAGTGAAAGAAAAAGTTTTAACGGTGCAAAGATAGTAAACAACGAAGGGTATTTATTGGATGGATGGATGGATGGATGAACTATGGGTGGATGGAAGGATGGATGGATGAACTATGGGTGGATGGATGGATGGATGAACTATTGGTGGATGGATGGATAAATGAACTATTGGTGGATGGATGGATGGATGGATGGATGAACTATGGGTGGATGGATGGATGGATGAACTATTGGTGGATGGATGGATGGATGGATGAACTATTGGTGGATGGATGGATGGATGAACTATTGGTGGATGCATGAGTTGATATAGGGGTGGATAGATTGATAGTTGGTTGGTTGGTTAGATGGATGGATGGGTGAATGAGAAGATGGATGGATGGACGGGCGATGGATGGATGGACGGGCGATGGATGGATGGGTGGAGGCATGGGTGGAGGCATGGGTGGAGGCATGGGTGGATGGATGGATGGATGGATGGGTGAATGAGAAGATGGATGGATGGACGGATGATGGATGCATGGACGGAGGCATTGGTGGGTGGATGGATGGATGGATCAATGGATGGGTGGATATATGGATCAAATGGTTAAAGGGGCAGAATGGATTGAAGGATAGATAGTTGTGGTTTATGAATGGATGGAATGGGATAAATGGATCATGGATGGTCCAAAGCCAGGAACAAATTAAAAATATAAGCTGTGGGGAAAAGAATATTCTTATATCACCTCCAACACTTTACAATTCACAATTAACATTTTAAAATATCCCTACCTTTTGAGATCGCTCTGCTTTATCTTTTGCTATTTGATCCTTCACCCTTTGTCTGAAAAAGAAATCAGAGAGCATACTAATCTTCATCAGAACTATTAATAAGCCAATCAGATCAGTTGCAGATTTAGAATGATTTAAAGGGGGCGACTGTTAGAGAAAGGTGTTCTTTTTAGTAGTAACCTTATACATTATTCTTATTATTTTTAAACTCCAAAGAGGCGTGGCAAGCCAGCCCATCCCCCCTCCTGGATCCCCTGAGTAGCTTTGTTTCAAAGCAATGGTATRCTTAATCATTCTAAAATACCTTGCTAGTTTTTCCTCTTGTTTCTCCCTCTTCTTCAGTTCAGCAAGTTTACGTGCCTCTTCCAGTTCCATTCTGTGAAAACCAACCGCATGGTATTAAACATGTCAACTGTAAGAGCAGATTTGTGAGACTGTGAAACAGTGGCATAGATGTGTTATTTGGTGATCATGATTGTGCCGTTTGCTGACTTCAATGAATCAAACTTACAACCTTCAAATTTCATCAATCCCCTGAAACAACCTCTGGGCTGATCAAAGTCAGGGCACCGCTAACTCACAGATTGAATTTAAATTTAGCTTGTTAGGTTTTGCGAAGGGAGGCAAACCAGAGAACCCTGAAAAAAACCCTTGAATCACGGAAGAGAACTAATAAACTCTATTTTAATTAGATACATGTACCGAGTCTGGGAATCGAGGCAGAGGCCCAGGTAAAGACTTGCAAGTGTGCTACCACCATGCCAACCTTGATTCCCGATAATTACAATATCCAGACAAAGAAGTGTCAGGCAGCTATGCTTAAAGAAAAACGAGCGGTGATAACTAGTAGGACTCACTTACTCCGATGAAGGACTAACGTCTGAAACGTCAGTTTCRCAAAGCTTTTTACGGTGATCCAATTTAGCTACAAGTTCCTACATGATTAAAGACAGTTTTGAGACTTACTTGTGTTTCATGTCAGTGATTTCTTTGCCTGTTCTTCGTCTCATTTTTTCTTTTTCTATCTTTTCCTACAACAGATAAGGCAAGAATATAACAAATGAATGTGAGAATATCCATGATAAACTAACAACCATCATAAACTAACAACCATCATCGAACCTACCTCACTGCCAACATCTTACCAAACACCACCACTCATTATTTTTATTGATATGCCATATCAATGAATGCTAATGTAACTCTCAAATCATATCTATTCTGAAATGCCTTACAAAAAAAATGTTTTATAAAGCTTTACTACTGCTAAAAAAGTTATATCTGTGTTATTGGTTTGACAATTCCCTTAAGTAATGAAATCTGGGCAACTGAACCATGGATTACAGGTGACCGAACCACAACTCCGGGTGACTTGAGTCCGTGCGACTGAACTCAAGGGTGACTTAAATATACAGTATACTGTATATACTGTAGCTTCTTTCAACACCATTATACACAAACCTTTTTCTCTTGTTCTTGTTTTTCTACACGCCTTTCAGCCATCCTCTGTTGTAATCTAGAAACATATAGATTCATAGTTTTATAGTTTTATAATTTATTTTACATATTTATATCGATATTGTTTTAGGGCCAATTAATGAGGATACCTAGATCACTGATAGTGATGTAGGTATCCTCATTAAAGATTATCATGATTAATATTATCATTATTATTATTATTATCATCATTATTATCATTATTATTATCATTATTATTATCAGTATTATTATCATTATTATTATTAATATTATTATGTAATTCTATTTTAATAAAATATCAGAGATAAGTACAAACTTTTCAAGCCGTTGTCTCTTTTCTTCTTCAGTCAAGGGTTTAATTTCATCTACAGATTCAGCAAAGTTGGCATGACCAGTCTTTGCCGCATGGAACTGAAATAAAAATAAAGAAATGAAAAATGGGATTGTAGGATATGAAATGGTAACAACCTAAGGAACCATACATGTCGTGATATTCAAGAGACTACACTTGCCCCAAGTCAACCTCTCTTTTCTCCTAAGGAGTTTTTTAGTGAGTGAAGCGAGAATTTGGCACACAAAGGGAAGCACACTTTGCAAAAGTCTATCAAGAGGCTGCGGCTGGTAGTCATACCTGTACTTCATTCTCATTTCTCATTTTCTTTCCACAGCTGAAAAAAGATGAAAAAGAAAATAGTGTGTGTTAATAAATATTTATCCAGTGTGCTGGGTGATGGACACTGAACCCATCATGACTGGCTGACTGGCTGACTAACTGACAACTGATTGAAAGATGACTGTTTGAAATACTGAGCAATGACTGATGACTGATGACTGACAGAGTGACAACTGACAAACTGATTGACAGACTCACTGACTAACAGACTAGCTAACAACTGATGACTGACAGATTGACAGATGACTGACTGAATGATTAATTGGTTTGAGAATATGTGGACCGCATAGCACTTATGAAATACGTGAAGATATAGAAATATAGATAAGTTATAGTGCTTGGGAACGAGGTTATTCCGGGTGAAAGCCCTTGGAATTAAATTCGGAAAAATTAATTTCTGACCTCGCTGGGAATTGAACCCACGACCTTCGGAATTGTACTACCGATGCTCTACCAGCTGAGTTAGAGGTTTAATTAATTGGTTTATTAATTAACTGATTGTTTGATTGACTAATAATCAGAACAACTAACACTTGATGCATGCTTTATTTCTAAAGGTATAAAATGTTTTTGTTTACTTACTCCTCACACACAAGAGATCTAGCCTGTTGTGGGGATGTAGCACCATCAGCAGATACTTCTGTCTCCATTCCTTCTGCAGCTGTTTCAGCCTTCTYGGAGCCTTCTTGATCTGCCTTGGCTGAATCCTCTGCTGTTTTTTCTGTACTTTCACTGTCCTTTGTATCATCTAGAAGATCAAATCATACAATAATAACTTATTTTATGGCAGGTTGTTGATTGAAGTGAACACAGGTAGCTAACATTAGATAAAAGTGATTCACCACTTTCCATACATCAGTTTGCTGGTCAAATTACGAAGCATTCAACCAAGGCTACAAAGGACTAACTTGCATCATCAATTGAGTGCTTTGTGTGTGACCAGTGAACTGATGTATGGAAAATTGTGAATTTGAGATTTTGCATTTTATGGAAAAGATAGTACATATTTAACAAAGAAAATGGAAAAATCGAATAAATACATAGCACAAGACAGATCATGCATTTTATGGTTTATGTTCTTTGACTGATTACTTTTGGGCTTCCTGTGGAAAAGCTCTTGTACCTTTAGATCCTAGTGTGTGGCCCTCACTAGGCTTATAGGGTTTATCAATGTCAGGATCATCTGTATGGGCAAACAACCTACAAGAATAAATAAATCATGAACTATTATAAATATAATCATAAAAGCACAGCCAATATTCTAGTTTTGAGTTCTCCGTTGCACAGGGTTAGGCTCGATTTTGTGCAGAATATTCATGTATTCCAGTCAAGGTCTGTGGAATTTCAAAGTGTTTGTATTGTTGAAGCTGTGCATTCTTTACTTTACCATTGGTATTTGTGAATATTATGATGATGAAATTGAGCTAACCCTGAGTGAATGAGTCTATAATGGGTAAATGAGTCTATAATCAGGGAACACAGCGATATTGTACTATTCAAATATACAAGTAAAAATAGTAGATACTACAATGCACAAATGTGAATAGGCTATAAATTTGAATGTATTTCTATAGTAAGAGTAAAAGAGCATGCAAGAGGGGGAGAAAGGGAAGAAACAGGAACTCTATGAAAAATAAAAAATATTGTTATAGCTTTTCACCAGCTCAAGTACAACAGTAACTATACCAATATCATGCTTGGATATTATTTATTTACTTACCAGTCCATAGCAACATGCACTCCCTGGTTACCAGTGACTGCTAAGGCCTTTTCTCTACAAATATGTGACACATTAATCATCATCATCATCATCATTATCATCATCCTCATGAAAATAATCGATATATGTTAAACATTGAAGCAATTAATCCCTCAATTGTTTGGTAATGGTGGTCAGCATATTCCTGGGATAAGAAGACTTATAACGCCTACTATATAATGTATTACARTTTTGGAAACATAAGGGTGTTTATCAGCTGGTGTTGATAATCTTGAATTCTTTTACTATCAAACAAATTAAATACACTCCAATATTTCTTCGCGGTCTTTTCAATATCAAACCAGCACTTTACAACATACTTAAAATATCTATTTTACGAGTTCAAACTTTTAATATAAATCTGAAGTCATAATTTAGTTTTTTTCTACTTCAAAACCAAGATTCATTCATAAAATAGAATAAAGTTACAAGAATTTCTTAATATAATAATGATATAATATGATTTATATAGCGCCTATACAAGTCGGCTCTAAGCGCTGTAAAATATATATAAATTATAATTCAAAAGCTAGTTTAAACAAATGAGTCTTAAGGTCTTTCTTAAAAGTTTTTCTTACGCTCTATTTCTTGGGAATCCCATTTCCATTAAAGTCTCAACTTCATTCGGCATGACTACGTCCAAGAATTTAGTATTTGTAAACTATAAAGTTAAAAAAATAATTTCAAAATTCACAAATTTTCGACTTTTTTCCGGCAAAAAGTTTGAAACTTTCACGAAAATGAAACAAAGCCCGCGTTATTATGGTCAGCGGTACTAGTTAGTACTCAGTCTACACTCTAGTTCCCGGTGATTTTTTTATGAGAGGAGTCTGGTTTAAAGCCGGAAGTAGATAAACAGGAAGATAAAACAGCTGAGTACATCAGGTAAATAATATCTTGATCTTTACGAAGGTAATTGAAGGATCTGAAATGAAGACACGTCAGCTATAGACCTTACTTAACTATATAAATAAGGACAAAAATTGAATACTGTGTGCCTTTGTTAGCTAGCTTGGGGGATCCAGAATATATGGTAAATGAGTTTGAAAGTTGTTATAAGTTTTATGCACTTTTGTATGGTAATCTATTTTCAATGGATAAATATCACGTTGTAGGAATGATTTTTTTTGCTCATTTGTGCAGACTAAGTCTTAATAGAATTTGCTTTTGCTTGTGTGGAGGAGTATCCCTAAATTATTCTTGGCTTTGAGCTCGTTAATCCAGAGGAAAAACTTATTTCTAGCTACCAACCCCACCAACATCACCTCAATTTATATTTTTCAGAATTATTAACCAGGATTCCTAATTTCAGTCGTTACAATGGCAACAACACACAACAGATTCAAGAACAAGGATCCAACATCAGATACTCCTGAAACAAAGGAATCTTCCAGAATGAATGAACCAAAGATCAAACAGTTTCATTACGTCTCTTTGTCCTTGGTTGAGACCATTTTGAACTGGGTTATTTGGCTTGGAACTGTGGCCTATATGATGTATATACTTGTAGTAGTATCCAATAGTAAGTATTTGATTGTGCAGCTCTGGAAAATTTTCCCACAGAAGAGAGAAGCTAATTTCTAGCTGCTCCAGAGTATCAGGAAGAATGATTCTGTTCTTGAATACTATATCCTGGGCAACTGTATGTATGTGTTCAAACGTGTCCAGAAATATCTGGCACTGGAATTGCTAAGGAATGAGGAGGGCTATTCCATTGAGTACTTTCTTTATAAGGGAGATGGATCAAATTTTGATCTTTTCCTGTAACACCCTTCCCCAGGCAAAAAGTAGTATTTACTCTCTCCTGTAGTGACACAGTACTACTTTGTCCCTCTCCCCTTGGGACCTAATGTAGTAAATGATTGGTGCTCCTTCCAACGGTGGATAATTAAACAAAATGTTGCTCATTATAACTGAAAGTAATATAAAATACAGAGTATTCTATTTGCACAGCTGTTACAACTGAATCAACAAAATTTGCTTAATTCAACACAAAGCAGCTAGGAAGAAGCTAGACTGACAGCAAACCAGTGGTCTTACAGTGATATCAATATCAATGAACAAACAATAGTTTCCAGCTTAATCAAACCATTTACAAAATTTTTAATGTCATTTGTATACTAGGATTTTTTCTTTTTTAGAACATAAAGATGAGCTTTATCCTGAAGATTTTTCAAAAGGCTGGAAAATCATTGGAAGAGAAAAGGTGATTTGTCAATTAATTTTTTTAAACCAAGCTTCAACTTCCAACTGAGAAATACTTATTTTCTGTTTTTCAGGATTCTTCGGACATGGAATGGGAGTTTTGGTCTAGCCTAAAGCTGGAGTTTGTGTCATCTTTAGCAATTCATTCTATTGGAGGATTTATTATTTCATATTATATCCCTAAGGTAATAATGTGTTTGTGTAGCATGATAATTTTCGTACCCCTCCCCTCAGGGGCGAGATTTTCCTACTGTTCTAGAGGCTATTTCCATCCAGTGCTTCTCCACCATAGGTTTTGTTGTTGTGAGCAGATGCTTCATACTCTTTGGCACAGCAATGAAAGAGCAGAAATGATGACAATCATACCCTCTACCTCTTGAAATATAGCCCACCCTCCCCGACCTTGGTAATTTCAATTTCCTTCTGGAGGTTTATAATTTTTTCTTAAACTTTTAAATATGCTTGTAAATATTATACTGGATTTTCTTTTCTCCCTCTTCCATTCTTTGCTCCTTCCTTTTCTTTTGCCCTCCCCTCCCCTCCCCTAGAAAGAACCTCTTTTACACCTTCCCTTCAAGACAAAGTATTGTTCTCACAAGCCATGAAACAAAAAACAAAAAAAACAAAAACATTAAGAAAGGTTGGATCAATAATGACATACATCATGATCACCCCAGTATTTTTGTATAGTTCAAGGCATTATTCTACCTGGTCTACACCTTAGTATTCCTGGTATATCTTCTTGGCATTCTTCCTGTAGTCTACATGTTGGTCCACCTTTGCATCATGTACCTTGCTTCACTGTCACAGTCTGTGCTAGCTGTCTGGGGAGTTGCCCTATCGATTCTTGCTTCTCTACAGATGGATGACATACGACATTGGCAGGTACTTGTTTTTCTTCTACTCATCTGCCATTCATCTTTTGGTAAACCAAAAATAAAGTGTGCTCTGGAAACAAGAACATACTTGCCATTTTCCCACCATTTTTTCCAAGCATGTACAGTATTTTATCTTGGAGTTTCATAGTAAAGCATTATACCCTAAGGTCACATGGCTATTTCCCTCCAAAAAATCTCAAATTTGGCACATCTTTGCAAAAATATATTCCATATAAAGAAGAAGTTTGTCCCATTTGAAATTTAGGAAGTCCAGTGGTGAGACCAACCAACATCTAGGTGCTTTGTATCCCTCCACCAATGGTTACCCTGAATACTCCCACCTGTTAGTGATACAAGTTTGCTCCAATTTACTCATTTTTACACCTTATAGTTTGTACACTTTGGTAGAGGCAGACACTTCCAGACTTCGGCATTATTTGCATAAGAATTTGATTTTTTCCTTCTTCTTCACAGTATAAGTACCTGACGAATGATTCACAGCACAGAGATTTAACTCTCTTCATCTCACTCATGTCTCTTCTACGCTCAATAAGTTTCTGTCTGGACCATTGTTCACACAAGAAGAACACTGAAGAGAAAGAGCCAGCATCTTCGTACTCCTTCTTCAACCTCTTGTCTTACAACTTCTATCTTCCTCTGTTTAATAATGGACCAGTAATGATGTTCGATACTTTTTACAAAGAAGTAAGTGGCTTATAACTAACGTTTTGGTAATCTTTGACTTGTCTCACAAGGTACATGCGAGTGGAACCATGATACTGATTGTCCACAGACCAGAATTCTAGTTTCCATGATGGGGAACTAAATAGGTCAAATTAATTTCAAAGCCTAAGTATTGTTAAAATCTGATGGATTTAGAAGAATCGGTCCCTTAGGATTCTAATTCCCACTCCCAGTATGTTAATCCCATTTTTCCTACTTCCAAGATTTTGTCACTCGATGTCACAGAAGATAAGATGTGTGTGACTCAGAGTACAAGCATGACAGTAACAACCTAATTGGAACTAAATGTCTTTTCTCTCTTTTCTATTTATTTTTTATGTGTTTCTCTAGTTCTATCAGCCACCTCGTCCATTCACAAAAGAAGAAATTCTCTCTCTCATCTGGGACTCTCTCCGTACGCTCTGGTGGTACATATGTTTCGAGGTCTATCTACACTACGTCTACTCTTCAGCTATAGTTCATGAACCTCCTGTCTTCATGGATTTATCCAATTGGTCTTTAGCTGCCTTGTTCTATTCACAACTCCATATATTCCTCACTAAGTATGTGGTGTTGTATCAGTTGTCTCGTATCTTTGCTCGCCTTGATCGACTGGATCCACCGCAGATACCACGCTGTGTGTCGTCCTTGTACACGTTCACCGATATGTGGAGGTACTGTCTAGTAATGTATTGAATTTCACTGCGCACGGTCACGGGACAGAATTGTTGACATGCCAATTAACCAATCACAGAGCGCAATATTAATAGGTTTCGTGAGTTTCCTTACCGTTGCCGTGACAGTCACGAAATGCACTCAGGAGCGTCAATGCGCACGACACGTTCACGGTACGGACGACACACCATTGGACCAATCACAGAGCGCAAGATTAATGGGTGTCGTCAATTTCTTTCCCTGACCGTACCGCTACAGTGGCAGTGCACGAAATCTATTTTAAGATTAATACTGAAAATCAATTTTTGAAATGTTTCAGATATTTCGATCGTGGTCTAAACATCTGGATGAAGAGGTGAGCTAAAATATTCTCTACTCTTATTGTATCTACCAAGAATCTATATACACTCCTATCAATACAATTCCAGTCTATGAACTAATTCTGATCTTGATACCAGGTACATCTATGTACCCATGGGAGGGTCCCGTAAGGGGGTTTTTCGTCAACTCCTTGGATCATTCTTGGCTTTTGGGTTCGTATGGGCGTGGCATGGCGGCAATCCTGACACTCTGTGGTGGTTTATGCCCAACTGGTTGGGCGTGGCCGTGGAAGGGTTTGCTGAGAACATTGCAATGTCACCATTGGTTATGAGAGTCGAGGTATGTTTATAAAACAATACTGATTGGTTGATATGCCTTTTCCTTTATTGGTCAATATATTTTTACGTCATTATACGTAACTGCGCCCCTGGAACGCTAAACCAGATTGTCTCCCTTGATTTTATGTTCCATTTTTTCGTAGGAGCATCTATCGTTGCGCATGCGTCGTCGTATCCGTGCAGCACTCTGCACCGTCACGCTTTCAGGTCTGATTCTAAGTAACATGGTGTTCTTGATTGGACCACGACCTGTGACGATCTTTGTTAGAAGAGTATTCTACCAAGGTAAAGAAACTAAATCCCTACGTTACTTTATGGTCTGCGGTTGTATTTGGGTCAAGATATTCAGTAAGCACGGGAGGTATTTATTTAATTTATCCTCTTTTTCAGGATTTCCTTCTTCATCGTTGGTTTGTTTGACCTGTCTTTACTTCTCGATACAAACCAGTATCGATTTAAACAACTACAAAGGCGGCCAATGGTAAGATTACAAGACTCCATGGTCATCCTTACCCATCCTAACCGTAGTGGCAAGAAAGAATTCTGTTCTTTTCCATTGTGTACCAGAGGATGAAGCTCGTTTCCATTCAGATTTGCATGAAATGGTAGAGCAAAGGTAGAGAGCTAGGATTACATGAATTTGAGGTCAACTCACGTGACTGGCTGCAACACGGAAAAGATAAAAGACGTCACCCGCATGAAAGATCAATAACATCCAGCTTAGGTTACACTTCCACGTCATCAAAGCATGTTGTATCGTAATTCCAATCCTTTGAAGTATTCATCCAGTAGTTGCCTAATTTTAACATAGATATTATAGTGTATGTATTGTACAGTCTATGTAATGTATATTAACTGCATAGTCATATAAACTAATTAGAAAAATTTAGTTTATTTTGATGCGATAAATACTTCAGCACGTTCTGTTATAGTCGTCTATAGTTAATATGACAACGGCCGTCTATAGAGGACATGCGCAATCACGTGCCGGTGGCCATCTTGGATGGCAGTGCATTATTCTTGATTGTTTTTGCGCCTGTCATCCAACATGGCTGCCATCACGTGATCGTTCAACTCCCCGCAACTCCTTTACATAAACAACAATCCACTAATATGCACATAATAATGTTGATAATAACCCTTGTCTTCCCATCATGCTTTACGGTGCTTTAAAAATCGTTACGTCAATTAAATGTACACAGGTAGCCCACCTATAGAAACACTATAATGACCGCAAAGCATGACGGTAGACAAGCGTGAGGCAGCTTTGATTACATAAGCTAAGAAAGAAACCACTAAAGTTATGAATGGCTAGAAAAAATTTATATCAGTAATATTAAAAAATATTAAACGCTCAAATTCGTACCAGGATCTTTCCCCTGAAAATTAGTGGACTGGGCACGAGCGCAACGTCAAACAAAAGACAAAAATCCATGAAAATGCTCCACAAACCAAAGGAGTACTAAAAAAAATTCAGAATTTTGGTGCTGTTCTCAAAGTGCTGCCTTTTGAATTCGGATAAAGTTACCTAACAAACACTTTAGTTTCTATGGTTACTAGGTTACCTAGCAACACCTTCGCCTCCCTAGCCACTGGGTTTCCTAAATTCTAGGCTACCCTGTAACCATTCTCCTACCTAGTCACCTAGATTACCACTGCGATAGCACAGGTTACCTAGGCTACTAGGTTGCTTAACAACACTACGTTACCTAGCAACCGTAGAGTTCTAATCGCATGGACACGTGATTATGCCAGGTTCGTGGTAGGATTCTCAACCATCGGGTCTTAAGAGCCGCTGGAAATTTATTTCGTTTGACAGTCGTTGAGTCAGAATTGGCCACGAAAATCTGAAAATAAAATACATAATTATAACTGCGGATTATTTCTCGACAATCACCTACAGGTGTGTATAGTATTGCGCGTGCGACGTTTGTTGATTAGTGCCGCTTTCAAGATACGAACCTAAATAAATATACATTTTTTTCTTAAACGGTGTTGTCTATTTTATTTTAAATAATCTGTTTAATTAAACCGAATAATAATTATTAATGGCCCGGCGTACATTGGTTTTTGTTCTTGCTTACAAGAAACGTGATGGCGGCCATGTTAGCGGTACGAAAGATTTCTCCTCGTGTCCGCTAACATGTCTGCCATGTAGGAATGGTTTTAATTTCCACCTACCTTTTTCCGACCACCGTTTCTGAGCACATACCACGTGACCCCATCATCAGAGTACGCCACCCGATACGTCTTGACCCATTCCCCAATACTCTTCCCCAGTCCCTGAGTCGCAACCCCAGTCACCATCGTATGGGTGCCCAAATCAATCTGTACCCATGGTTTCGGGTCGAACTTCTTCGTGCTCCATCCCGCTGGCCAAGTGTCTAGGTTCAGGCGGGCTCGGTGTGCGCCGTGACGCTTGGGGTTGTTGCTCCATGCCGAGGATGCGGTGAGCTGGGCATCAGATATGAGACCTTTCTCCATCCCCAGTGGATCGTCACATTTACCTAAAGTAAAACAGATAAAGAAAAATGTATAAATAGTGGATGAATGAGTGAGTGGCTGTGTGGGTGTTTAATACTGTGCGAGGAAGAAAGGCATGGAAAGAAGGAGGGAAGGCAGGGAGGGTAACCAAAGAGGGGAAGGGGGAGGAAGCCGTAAGGTAGGAAGTAAGGGACTGAGAGAGGGTGGAAGTAGAAAAGGTTAGCCAGGGGGGGATGGAAAGGAGTACATAAACAAGCAAAGAATATTAACCAACATTTCAATCATCTTATTGGCGAGTAGGAAGTTAATCTTTATATCTCCTACCTCTACATGTCGTTTGATTTCCATCTTTTACAGGAAACTGACCCTTAGGACACGAACACGTGTAACCACCATGCGGCTTGAGAAGACACAGCCCCAAACACCCTCCATTCTTATCTGAACATGGATTTCGTGGCACTAAAAAGAACATAGCTTTGTTTAAACAGCCTGTCTGTGAGTTAAATATGAATTACCGCAGGATAGAGATCTTTTTAACACCGTGGACAATTATTCACATGTCTTTACCATTTGGAGCTCACAGTTCGTCTTGCTTCGATGCAAAGGGACGGCTACCTTTCAAGATGGAGCAGGGAACTGTGGAGGGGATTATTCCATCCAGCGTCTAACGTTGCAGTAAGCGTCTCACTGCGTGATCGACATAAAATCAATACATAAATTACTAACCTTTAGCAGGGCAAGGTTGCACCGCCTTAACGTCGAAAATTTTCCCAGTTTTGCCAACGAAGGTAGCAAGGGAAGAATCCGGTGTTGAGGACTCGACACCAATCCTATGAATGAGATTCTGATTCCAGTCTGTCCAGTACAAGGTACGGTTAAAGTACGCGATACCAAACGGATACGTAACACGAGTAAGAACCTGAAACGATGACAGAGTTAAGTGATATATGATTGGTTAATAAGTACTGACAAGTCACGTCATTGTTTGAGCGGATCTAGAACTGCAGTGTAACTGGAGGGAACACGTGACCAGAATTCCCGCCCTCGCTCCATAACAACTTTGTGTTCTGTAAGTGCGCGTGCGCAGAGCATACCAGAGCCGTAATTAGTCAAGAATGCGCAGTAAGAAATAAGGGTTCTGGGAACAAGATGGTAAATATTGCTGAACTAAAAAAAAGAATATTAACTGTTCTTTGTGAATTTTTACTCACCTTTCGCACATTTAACCCGGCAAGGTCCACGCATCGTATAGACCACGAGCCAGCATCAGTATAACACAGTTCATTGGTGGTCTGCACCAGGGTTAGACCATTAGGCAAGCCCAGGTCATCATATACCAGCACACGGCGATTAGTACCATCCATGTCAGCCGTCTCGATACGAGGTCGGCGACGTGTCCAGTCAGACCAGTACATCTTTCTGGTACACAAAGAATCACATGGTTAGTGTTCGTTAAGGTCACGTGTGGGAAAACTGGGAAGTGGTCACGTGGGAAAATGGGCGAGAGGTCACGTGGTAAAACTGGGAAGAAGTCACGTGATACTTTATAGATTAAAATATGTCACAAGGACGAACTGTGAATGATTGGAATGACAAAAACTGAAAACAGAGATTGACAGGATTGGAAACGATAGGACAGAAAAGGAAAGGAAAGAAACCTTCCAGTAACATGCCATTTAAGAGGGCGTCTCTGTAACAGCGTGCCACTCGATCTGGGCTCGAAAAATAGATTTCTTTTATATTCCTA